GCTGAGGTACACCCAGTCCTTGCGTAAGGCGATGTTTTGGTTTTTCTGTGTGTATTTGATACAGGGTCTCACTATGCAGCTAAGGTCGTAGTGATGCTCCTGTTTTCAGCTCCCCAGTGCTGGGATTATAGGCATGCACCACCATGCCTGGACTAGGTAGCCAGCTCAGCACTCCTGGGGGTGGGACCAGTGCTGCTGATGGTGCTGGGGATTCAACCCTGTGCTTGCCTAAGCAGGTGCTTAGTCAGCTGAGCTACCTTGAGGGCCCTCCTCCCATAATTTTTTTAATGGGGTTGATGTAGAGTTGTTCCCGGGCAATGATTGCTAGTTAGGATGTCAGACCTGTAATGCTGATGCTGGTCTCCACCATGAGTACTTCATTATTACACTAAAATATCAGTGCTGTGTTTGACCAAAGAGTGACATAGGAGCTTTAATAAACTGCATCTGTAAGCCAAGTTCTAAAAGTATTGTTATTTTCCCATTAATTATTTAGACATGTTAATCTAATGATTGATATTTAACAAAAGTCAAATGAACCTCTGTTCCATGATCTCAAGTAGGAAGTGATCTAGGGTGGGTCTTCTCCCTTCATGCCTTATCTGTTCTCTCTGTAATGAGAAGCATTCCAAGCATTCATTCATGCATTCATTCATTCATTCATTCATTCATTCATTCATTCTTCATTTATTAAGCACCACTGAGCCATTACTCAAAATCAAACATTGTTATTCACAACAGGAAACAAGACAGATGAAGTTCCTTTATAGTGTAGACTTCATCCTGGGAAGGACTCCAGAACACCTAGGAGCAACAACTAAAATGTCATTTGCAAAGGAAGAGCCTCAGAGGGATCACTCCCTAGGTACAGCATTCTTGCCATGTCTCCCCAACATCTAGGAAGAGCATGCCAAGAGGTAATACCATGTGAAAAACTAAAATTACTCAGCCAGACCACATGGAGAGCAGCCCAGGCCATGGAAAGTGGATGAACACCAACTCTCGTCACCAGGAGATCCACTGCATGGATTCTGTTTGCATGCCCTCTGTCCTCAGGGCATGCCACAGAATGCAGCAAATACTTCTATAAGTCACTGGTGTGCAACCATTGTAGGGAGCCAAGGATGACTTGCCTTTTGCCTCATTCTGTGAACAATTTGTGGCCCACAAGAAGAGTGCAAGGTGGGCACCTCCATCCAAATTCTGCTTGTCACAGATTGTGTTTAGATGTCTCCCAAAGCCTCACACACTCATAGGCAGGGCTATTTGGAGCTGGATGGATTTAGGGCATGCGATTCTGTGATTAAGGGTGTGTGATAGCTGTATTAGTCCACTGTTTGGAATTAGCATAATTGTGGTATGGAAAATGGGAAAGCCCACCTGGGTGTGGGTGGCACCATCCACAAGGCTTGTAGCCTATATGGGATAAAAGGGAAAAGGAGGCTTGCTTCGCTGCTGCCTTCTGTCTGCCTTGCCATGAGCTGTTTCTCCTTATAATCTGCCATGCTGTTGTACCTTGAAAACAGCTCTTATGGACTGAAAACTCTTCAGACTGTGAGCTGAAGTCAATCATTCTTTTTTTTTTTTTTTAAATCTTTTTTGAGACAGGGCTCACTACAAAGTTTAGACTGGCTTTGATCTCACCTTGTTGCCCAGGTTGGACTTGAACTCACAACAATCCTCCTGTCTCAGCTTCCTAAGGATAGGGATTACAGGCACATGCCACCACACCAGGCTAACCTTTCCTTCTTTAACTTGTCTTGGTAATGAGAAAAGTAAATAAGACATTGGCTTAAGAAGATGCTGTTATAAAGGGGATTTTTGTCTCCCAAATTTGAGATATTGAACCCATACACCCCAATCTGGCAGTATTAGAAGGTGACACCTCAGGAATGAGGTTAAGATTAGATGAGGTACAAATTTAGAGTTCTTACAAGCAATATTAGTGTCTGTATGCATGAGGAGAAGGCTTACTTCTTCCTTTTCTTTCTGCCATTTGTGGACATAGCAAGAGTCAGCAACGTGCAACCCAGGAAGGTTCCCACAGCAGAACCTCAGCAGAACTTGGCAGCGCTAACACCTGATCTCACATCTGTAGTCTCTGGAATCTCCAGGAGCACCTATCTGTTTTGTGAGCTCCTATTCTGGTGCTGTGTTGTGGCAGGTGGAGCAGATGAGACAGGTGTTCAGCAGGGAGCTGCCCCAGTATTTTATCTTATGTCTTAGTCTGTTTGCACTGTAGTAACAAAACAAACAAAATGACAAAGATTTGTTCTTCACAGCTCTGGAGGCTGGCAGTCCCAGGTCAAGGCACCGGCAGATCTGCTATCCCGCAGGGGTCTGTCTCTTATTCACAGGGAGTACCATCTCACTGTGTTCTCATGTGTAGGGACAGGGGACCTCCCTGGGTCTCTTTATAAGGGTACTAACCATTCATCAGGACTTTGCCCTCATGCCTAATCACCTTCAAAAAGATTCCCCCTCCCTTGACAATATGACTTTGAGGGTTAGGAGTTTGGGCTGAGGGTGACACAAATATTTAGATCATTGCTTCTTACGACATATTTAAGAGTTGGGCTACATACTGCCCCCCTTCCACCCAGTATATGCAGACACAGACTGACATATATAAAATGCTTCTCATTTCAACCAAGGCCTCTGTCACAACCATTGCATGCCCTGAATTTCTTTCTTTTTTAAAAAAAATTTTTTTTTTTTTTTTTTTGGATACAGGGTCTTGCCATGTAGCTCAGACTTGTAGTGATTCTCCTGTCTCAGCCTTCCCAGTACTGGAATTACAGGATGTGCCACCATGTCCAGTTTTGGTGGCCAGCTCTGCAGGCCCAGGGTGGGGCCAGCATGGCCTGCAGTACCAAGGACTGAACCCAGGTCCTTGCGCTTGCCAGGCATGCACTTAGACCACTGATCTATCTCCTTGGTCTCTGAGTTTCTTATAATCTGAAACAATGTTCCTTCCAGTAATACCTCATCATCTGTACCACAGACTTCATACTTTGATCAATGTCTCAGACTTACATTACTTTGAAAACTTCTGGGCTGGTGAGATAGCTCAGTGGACTAAGTGCCCACTTAGGCAAGCACAGGGTCCAGGGTTCAATCCCCAACACCACATGCTGTGCAGGCTCTGCCCCTGGGTGCACTGAACTAGCCACTGAGACCGAGCGTGGTGGCACACATATAGAATCCCAGTGCTGGGAAGGCTGAAACAGGAGGATCACCATGAGTCCAAGCTGTGTAGTGAGACCCTGTATCAAATACATTAAAAAAATAAGTAAACTTCGGTAATAAATTATGTTTTATTCAAAACATTTAAATGGGACTGTATTCTTTTGGGAACCAACATTTATTTTTGCAACTCCTTTGTAAACAGTATGAGTTAACATTTTTAATGCCAAAGAATCTTTCCTATGGGAATTTCAGAGCAAGCTCCCAGATGTCCATTGAATCTCAGGAACTCAACTTTATGCGCCACCCATGTTATTAATCAGGGATGGCGGGGTTGCTGTTCAGGTGAGTGTACTGAGCCTACCTACCATCAGTTTATAGAAGGAAGAATAATACTCAAAACTCAGCTTCCCAAGTTGTTGGTTTCATAAATAAGCCTGTGCATCCTGTGCAGCTTAGAATGGGTAGCAGGTGCTGCATCCCACGACTTTAATAGACCATGCTGATAACGTCCTTGAGAGGAGTACCTCTTATTGTAGCGCCTGCCACAGGGCTGACATTCCAAAAACATTTTTTGGGCGTCTATCTGGAAGATATTAAAGGCTCTCATGTTTAGGGCAGGGGCTTGGAAGTTACTTATTTGTGTTCGGAATTATCCAAGTGTTATTTCAGAGGCAATGACCTGAAACAACAGTCCACAGGCAATTTTTTGAGTGGATACTTATCACCTGAGACATGTCACAGCCTTAAAAGCTGTCTTTGACGTAATTTTAATATTGTGGCCTTTAAGAAACACATTTCACAAGCCTGGCCCCGCTGTCTGGCAGTTACTACTCTGCCTGTGAAAACTTTCCGCCTGTCCAGTCTGCAAAGATCGCGCTGCTGAGTTCTTGTGATTTCTGAGATTCCAGAACCAGCCTTGCCATTTTTGGAAGTTTTATTTTTTGGTATTGTTATTTTCCATTTAAGCTGAGGCTATGTTAGGTTCAGCACACTGACCTGAGTTCGCCTTCTGTCCTGTAATCCCTGTTTAATGACGGGACAGGTAAAGATATATTCCTGAGATCCAGTGAACGTCTGGAGCTTGCTTTCAAAACGGAGCACTGGGCCTCATGCACAGTGCAAGGAAGCGCCTGGGTGGCCTCCTCCATCCTTTCAGAGAGGGAACTCACTGTCCATGGAGATGAGTCCGGCCTCCCCGGTGGCTCGGTGTCCCCGCCCCCCAGAGAGTCAGCCTCTCCACCCCTCTCGGAGAACACCTGCCCGGCACTGGGGAGGGGCGGGGTGCCAAGCGCTGCTCTCCAAGCTCTTGGGCGGAGAAGTTTCCTTTGTCAGCGTGACCACGTGGCGTCATGGCGGTCGCTGGGGGCAGTCATTGAAGCAATCCATTCTGACAGCTGCGAGGATTTATGGACTCCCCAGGTCGCAGGATCCTATAGAGGACAGCATTATGGCCCGGCCTTTGGGTTCAAGAACCGGCCTCAAGGGAGGGAGGGGAGAGAGGCGGGGCCTGGAGATAGAGAGGCGGAGCCAATGGTGGAGGTGGGAGGGGCGCGGCCCCCGAGGCCAAGGGGGCGTGGCATAGGAGGAGCGCAGGGGCGGGGTTTGAGGTGGGGCTCGGAGGTAGAGGGCGGGGCGAGAGTGGGTCGTGCTGGGGCGGAGGCGTCTCGGGGCGGGGCAGAGGGCCCACTCCAGGCTGCAGGGCGGGGTCGGGGGCACGGAACACGCGTTGATTGGCAGGGGGATGGGGCGGGACTCCAGGCACGAGGCGGGGGCGGGCACGGAGGTGGGGACGGGGACGCCGACGGGGCGGGGGCGGTGCTCTGGCGGGCAGGGTATGGCGTCCATGGCGGCGGCGATCGCGGCCTCGCGCTCGGCGGTCATGAGCGCGAACCGGCCACTGGACGAGCGGGAGCGGAAGCGCTTCACCTACTTCTCGTCTCTGAGTCCTATGGCCAGGAAGATCATGCAGGACAAGGAGAAAATCCGCGAGAAGTACGGGCCCGAGTGGGCGCGGCTGCCGCCCGCACAGCAGGACGAGATCATCGACCGCTGCTTGGTGGGGCCGCGCGCCTCAGCGCCCTCGGACTCCGGAGACCCGGGGGACCCGGCGCATTTCCCCGGCCTGCGCGGGCCCACGGGCCAGAAGCTGGTGCGCTTCGGCGACGAGGTTGGCGCGGGGGCTGGGAGGATCTGGGAGGGGAGGGCGCGGGCCCTACGGACTGGACGGAATTCTGGAGTGTCTGCCCCGGTTCTGGTCCACCTCTGCTCCTTGACCATGGGTGAGCCTCAGTTTCCGACCTGTGAAAGCGGGTGGTACCACTCATGCCTGCCGCGAGGCACTCAGTGCCCGGTGTGTTAGTGTTTGTGAGGAGCTCCGGGAAAGTGAAATGGCCGAGGAGAGAGAGGAGAGGAAGCGCCTTCCAAGGTGAAGAAGGGGCGACGCCCACTGCCTGAGTGCTGTCCCCAGTAAGCTGGGTGTGCAACCTGTGTTCTGGGGATTCGTGTCGCGAGTCCGTTTTTGTAGTGAAAAACCAGAGAGGGGAGAAGTTTAAGTGCTCTAGCGAGCCATTGCTCCTAGGGAGGGCGCAGACCTGTAGAGGGACCATCGCTGCGGAAGGGTAGGAGAAACTGCTGTGAGCAACTCAGCCCTGAGTCACAAAGGCCCCTGGAACCGGTTTGGTGCCCTTGGAATATGCAAAAGTGGCTAAAGTGTGGACGTGAGCGATCCAGTCTCAGTCCAGGTCCCTGCTGAGGCTGCAGGAGGAGGAGCCCGGGAGTTTTCCGAGGAAGTTGTTTGTGCATGTGGAAGGAATTCAAGTTAAGAATAAGGTTTAAGCCAGATTTTTCAGGCTGAGTATGTGGAGACATACACTAATACAAAATGTTTGTGGTCATAAGCCTACTTTAGGAAGTGTGGGAGAACGGAATTGTGCTGCCAACATTGCCTTATTCTGGTGGAATCAAAAGAAAATTCTCCTCTGGGCTTTAAACTCCAGGGGCTTTGCCAGGAAAAAAAGCATGGGTGTGGTACACTAGGGAGATGAAAATGTAGGTTTTAAGTGGTATTCCTAAAGCTAGAACAACTTCAGTGAAATAAGCACATCTGTGAAGATACGTGTATGGTGCTTTTGCTCAGGTTTGGATAATGACAGAGCAGTTAGCTCCTCATGGAAGAATCATGAATTAATAAAGCCTATCGGAAGTGAACCAGTAGGCACTTACACGCATTGGGGAGTGACCGTCACTGGCCCTCGCTGCGTATCCCACTGGGAGGAGTGGTATATTTACACATCATTAAAAAGCTAGGTCACATTGGAGGGTATGGTTACCAGGAAGGAAAGATGGGGCCAAGTATTTACTATAATCCCTAATCTGGTGCCAGAGTAGGCTATTTCTGAATTTGTAGACCCAAGGTAACTTAGAAACAAGTAAAACATGTGTGGTGGCAACTACATTCCTTTCCAAGAACAGCCAGGCCTGTTTTTGAGAGTTGAATCTCACCTTTGCAAAAGCGGCTTGAGATCTGGCCCTGGAATTCCTCAGGCCTTCTCTGGCATGTTGGCAGAGGGGCACACAACATCTGGATTTTAATGATGTTGCCCAGGCTAGCATTTTTGCCTGGGGTGGTTGTGGGCTGGAGTGGCAGTGGGAAATTTTTATTCTATCAGACTGAATGAGAGGTTGGCACTTAATGAAGTCTGTGGTCTCATTGTTGCCCCCAGAAAACCTTTCTTGAAGAAAAGGCAGCTCCTGGGCACAAGGGATGATAGGTGAGGGCAGGATAGGGGATGCTACATAGGCTGGTTCAAATAGATGGCCCAGGATTGAGTAAGAGGACCCCGCACTAGATTGAGTAGGGCACTCCATGCAGTCTCTTCCCACTTGATTTGTCTTCTAACATGGTTTCAAGAACTTCCACAGCTCTTTCAGTAACCCTGAAGGGTACTGCCTGTTTCTTTAAATACCTCCTCTATTGCCAATACATTTTTGTGTCTCTTAGAGCAATATTTTGACCTGTTCCACTTCCAATCTGGGCTGGTTCACCCCTCCTTGGGCAACCTGGTGGTTCCCCACTCCTGGGAGGTCATCATGTGGATGCCAAACTTAGTGCAGATAGCCAGTCAGCATAGTGAACTGCAGCCCAGAACTCTTAGACTCAAGCAGTCTTCCCACTTCAGCCTCCTGAGTAGCTAGGACCACAGTCCTGTGTCATCAGAGTCCCCTGGTGAGAGTTACAGAATTCCACACTCTGCTATGTCCTTCCCTGCAAACAAGCTCTGAATAGGTGATCAGGACATTTGGACAGCCAGTGCATCCTGTTCATGTGGCTCTCCTTGCCTGCATCTCTGATCCAGGGAGTGGGTGGAACTGGCAAAAGTGGTATTTCCATATGCCAGCCCAGGACGTGATTAGGATTTTGCATGCTGTAGAACATGGAGTGCTGAGACCGAGGAGCCAGGCAGCTCCATCCCCTCATCAGCAGCTTTGCATAACCAACTGCTGCCTTAGGCCAATATCTTCCTCCTGCAGGAGTCAGGAGTTCTGTTAGCTGCTCTCTTACTCTGGGCTTTGGGCTCTTGGATTCCCAGGTTCCTGCTGCACTGCCATAGGTTTTTTAAGGCCTGGTGGCTTTCCTGCCCTGCAGTTGTGGAGTACCTGTGGTCAGCAAGCCTTGCTGAGCCACTGCATCCAGTGTCTCTTGCCACTGCATCCAGTGGCTCCTAGGCTGCCTACTGTGGACCTCACCCCAGGTCTGGACTCCTTATAGCCTGGGTGCTGGCCAGCCTACTTGACTGGGTTTTTAAAATAAACTAATTTAGTTAAAAAGTTGCAGTACAGTATTGTTAAACATTTCACACCATGCTGAAGCAGCCTTGTAGAACAATTTTTTTTTTCATAGAACAATTGATAGGATCCATCTAGAAGTTTTCTCAACCTTTAAGTCTGTGTTAGGTTTGAGTTGCTGCCTGGTGTCTGGGACAGATGGGGCCTCCGCTTCCTCTTCTGTACTGAATTTGAGATTGACTCTGTGTGGACTTGGGACAAGTGGAGCCTCCCCTTCTTTTCCCACTGTCACACCCCAGACTTTTGTCTTCCTTTGGAACAAACTAAAGTACTAACTTGAAAAGTTGTTTTCTTAGTTATTTGAATTTGTTTTTTAAGGAAGGTGAAATGCATAAATAAGAATTTTCTCCATCTGTCTGGCATCTCCATGTATGTATAGAAAAGATGACAGGGTGAATGTGGCTTCTTATGTCCTCTGCCTGGTGTTCAGGGCTCAGCTGCTGGGCAGGCATTGAGATGTGGCCTCATCCAGATCCACAGGCTGTGCAGGGACAGCCAAGGGCAGCCTGTGGCTGGACCCACTAGCATCCCCTTGGATGGAGTTAGAGGGGTCTTCACTTCAGTTGGCACCTGCCTGGAGCCTGGGACATGTGGCAGTGTGACCACATGGCCTCCCCTTCCCAGGCACCTCTGCCCACTAGTTCCTGTAGGAGTGTGGTCCAGTGGCAGCCAGGGAGCATGTTTTGAAATGACTTGTTCAGGCCATGCAGGGTGGGAGGGCAGGAAGCTTGTGGGCAGGCATGAAGTCCTCTTTTAATGGACAGGAATCACTTTCACACCCAAATTGAGATTTCTATACTACTGGGAAAAATGGCCACTTCAAAATAAACGAATGAATGACTGCCCACCAGACCTGTCAGCTTCGACTTCCTGCTTATTTTCTGTTCCTTCCCTTTCAATTTCCTCCACCCACTCTGTTCCCTGGTCCCATTACCACAGTGAATGGCTCTGGTTCTGCTGCCGCTGGGTCTCTGAGTCTGCATCCACAGTGGAATGCACTCACAGTTATAACTACTTTCTGTCTGGGAGCTGCAGATTTGTGCTTCCGGTTTTGGAAACCCCCATTTCAGCAGAGTTAAATATATCCCAAGCCAAAAGGAAAGGCACCAATTCCATAAGTATGTACATAGTTGCTAGGATTAGGCAGCTGGCACAGAAGAGCACATTTTAACCATCCTTCTCTGTTGAACAGATATATTTCTTTAGAGCAGTTTTAGGTTCATAACAGGATTGAATGGGAAGCACAGAGTTTCCAGTACCCCCAGGCAGATGGTGTCACCACGGTCAGTACTGCCTCATGGGCGTACCCACTGTGGTGCCTATGTGGACACCTCATTGTTACCCAGAGCCTAAGCAGACACCTCATTGTCACCCAGAGTTCGCAGTTCACATTAGGGTTTGCTGATGGGTGCGCACACTCTGTAGGCTGTGATGAACGTGAAACATCAGGGTCCCCCAAGCTGCATCTCGCAGAGTGGTTTTAGGCCTGAGCACCCTCTGAGCTTCTGTGCACCCCCACTGACCACTGATGTCAGGCTCCACAGTTTTGCCCTTTCCAGAATGTCATACAGGAACTGTGCAGCCTGCAGTCTTTTTGGATAGATTGCTTGTATCTGGTAGTTTGCCTCCATGTCATTTCATGGATTGATGGATCCTTACTTTTTTTGTGGCGGAACCGGGGATTGAACTCAGGCCCTTGTGCTTGTCTGGGAAGCACTTATTCCACTGAGCCATCTCCCTGGCCCCTTGGATCCTCACTTTTTAGCACTAATACTCCATTGCCTGGGTGTACCACAGTTGATTTATCCATTCATTTATTGAAGGACAATTTGGTTGCTTCCAAATTTGGGCAAGTATGAATAAAGCTGCTCTAAATATCTTGTGTATAGGTTTTTGTGTGAACAGAGGTTTTTAGTTCAAACACGATTGCCTCACTCCCTTCTTTAATACGGAGACTGGAATTTGCCAGTGCTCATACCCTGATCTCAGTTGCCTGACAAGTGCAGGGTGCTGTGTACCCTGATGCTTTATACTGAAGTGGCCCAAAGTCTCGGGGTCTTTGAGGTACAGACAGCTCACCAGCAAAAACGTACCTCCCCATGGAGGTGCCATACAGCATTACCACACAAAGACGGCTGTCAGCGTTGGGGGCTTTCTGTGCTTTTTCCACAGGCTCTGCTCTCCAGCGTTCCTTCTCTAGCTTCTAGCATTTCTCAGCTTAGGCCAAGATCCCACTGTTTATCAGCTCCCCTAACCTTTGAACTTCAGGGGTCCATGACTACTCAGAGTTTCAGGGAACAGCTGCAGGGTTCTGGACACTGC